ATCAAAGAAATACAAAAAATATGTTAAAGCAACGAAAGCTTCCAAGAGTAAGCACTCAAGGGTCAGGAAATGCCAAGTAAACGGTAAACGCAATACTGTAGCTCTGTCCTCTTGAGCATATGCATTACGATGCAGCTGTTAACTATGATCACTGCTTATCTTAATGGCATATATGCAGCTAATTAAAAAAATGTGTCCCTATAAGTAAAGCCTGTGTTATAACATACACATAGGCAGACTGACGGCTGAAGGTCCAGCTCTCATTTCCTGTCTCCTGAGCGCTGAATTGTGCAACCTTAACATGCCATTAACAGCGTCTGTTGCACATGCTGCAGCCCCTCCGTGAGCTCTGCTCCCTTCAAGTGCTTCCTCTGCCATGCCTGTCTTGTGAGGAGCTGCCATCCACAGAGACCGCAACATCTCGACTCTTGAGTGTCAGTGTTAGTTGTGCACAATGCCATGGAGAACGGGACCCAACTCCTAAGTGTGCTGTATTGTTGCTGGTTTTAACCCTCACAGCCTTGGTGCTGTCGTGCACACAATCACACATTTCATTACAAACAGATGGATTTGGCACACGTGCGGATTTACTGCATTTAGCAGCTTCACTGCACCTGTCCTACACATCTGTTATTTTATATATATCACAATATAACTGATGTGTCACTAGTGATCGGCAAGCACCCACACAACTAGGTTCACCTCATCCGTTCATCAGCTGGCCGATATTCATCCCATCTGCCCACATATCCACCCCGCATGTCCTCATTCATAACTCAGCTAGTCAGTTCTCCTCACTCAAGCTGCTTCCAATCCATTCAGCTATCACCTCTCAAATCCCCATCCATTCAGCAATCGATTCATCATCTGAACTGCTTCAACTTACACACCCCAACCTATTCATCAACACCTAGCTCGTCATTTCTACCCATTCAGCCACTGACCTCCACATCCCTATTCAGCCACCAAGCCGTTCACTGACTGTCCACCCACAACTCCACCCACCAACGTACCATCCATCTCTAGAACATATGTCTAACAAACTGCCTGTTTAACTGACAATGTAGAGGCCAGTCTCGGGTACTTGCTGGCATTAGAAAGATGTAACAGGAGCTAGCAAAGCTCCATATTGCCAAACGAAGAGCCTTGGCAGGATGACTTACCCCCAGAGCTAAGCCTACGCAAGGCAGAAGCATTGCCTTGAGTGAGGCTAGAGGGCTGGTGCAGATGCCTGTATCCCTGCAAGCGGTAGTCTCTGCAGTTCCTGCTGGGACTGGATGAGTTGACAGAGTTCAAGGCAGAGTCCATTGGGTCCAGGCGAGGTTCCAGGGGACCTGGGAGGCCGTCTCCCAGAACAAAGGTTTCACCTGTAAGGCACCAAGCTGCAGTCAGAACCAATAAGGGGTATGCAGTACACAGTTACAATTCTATACAGCACACACAAGCATGAGCAACAGCAGCATTCCCTGTACGGCGTGCTGGAGAAATCAGTCAGAAAGGGGTCATTTACTAAGTGCTGCAACGTGGTGTTTGTCTAGCAAGTTTCAGTCCTGCTGCTCTTGAGCGCCATTTAGCTGCATTTATGGTCCATACCAAGATGTGTGCACTACCTGTTCCTTTTGTAGCATCAACACCAGTCCCATCCTGCACTCTCACATCCTCCTGCTGCTTCCACGAGCTCCTTCCTTTGTCTGCCAGTGGCAGACAAGGGTGGAAAGTCGCCTGTTCTGAGTAGATTTGGAAGTGTTCCCCAAATCCACGCAGAAGGGGAATTCCTTCTCTGGCTCACAATTCCACCAGTGAGAACAGGAGCTCTGGGACAATCTGGGTTAAAGGCATTTGTTCTTTCCTGCTCTCCCCCTCACCTTGCTATCATCCACTAATGTGAACCCTCCCTCCCCAACTGAGCACCATCTCAGCCCCCTGTTGGGTGGGGGAATTGGGCCAGGGAGTGAATTGACTCACCCCCTCCCCGCCGTTCTTCACATTCACACTGGTTCTACTGCTTGAGAGGAAGACAGAACTGGCAGTGGCTTGCAGATCCCACATGGGACATAAGGCTCCAAAGCCTTGCCTGCTTTACTTATCCTTACTGCTGGCCCCAAGCCCTTGCTCTAAGAACAGCTCTCTGAGTGGAAGGAGGCGTTGGCTTGGGAGCCAGAGCCACAGGACTGGGTTGAGCCCATTCTGGGTCACTAACCCTCAAGGGACGGGCCCAGCTAACTGGCTTTGCTTGGGTTTTCCAGCTGTTGACATAGGCCTTTTCTGGACACTGGCACAGGCTTTTCCCAGACACAGACAGCCCCAGGCTCTCTTCCTCAACCACCAGGGTTAGTTCTAATAACGACACACGCCGTTGTCACTGCCGCTGTCAGGTTGGCTCCAGCACTGAGGTGCCATTAACCATCAGCCACTGTCTCTTTCAACCTGCCAGGAGGACTCTATTCATACACAGAACTGGGCTCCATAACATGCCCAACAGGCTGTAGTTCTCCTCATTTAAAATAAGACTTCCCAGAGGGTCTAGCAAATAGAGGTGGGGGAGGCCCTGCCATGCGGCTGGGGCTTAGCAGGGATGGAACGTTACTGCAGCTAGTAACATGACTGCTGAGCTCGAGCGAGGCCTTTGCAGCTATGATCAATGGACGCGCTCACACTACCCCTCCCCTGGTGCCAGTGGGAGGGCGCGGGCAGCAGGGTGCTCTCGGTGCAGGCCCACAGGATTGCAATTCACTTTCTCTCTAGCTCGACTTGAACCAGGATTTACTGACCTCCGGGGCACCTACTAGGGTCCCCTTTTCCCCAGGTGAGGGGGGAAGGCTGGGGAACGAGATGGGGGGAGAAGGGGAGCTGTATGTTCTGGACGGTTATATGATGTTCGTAGGGATGATTTACAGCTTAAGCCAGTGCATCTAGTGCCCTGGGATACTCTCCTCTGCTGTGCACGTTACTGTGCATGTCTTGTGCAAGAACGGTCAGGATAGATTCTGTTAATGAATGCACAGCCGCTACACGACAAAGTCAGCCCCGCCAGCCCAGAGCCCTAGGGACCATTCCAGACAATTCTTTGTGAAGGACCTGCTAAGTCTAACTGCAAGAGAAGAAAGCGGTTAATGGACGAAGGTGCATTGCCTTTGTACCACAGGTTATGCTATGCAACCATCACAAGACACCCTCCCATACCGGCCACAAGAGCAACTTTTCCCAGGGCCAGCAAAGAGACTCTTACAACAGTTCTGAGTTATTTGAGCTGCCACTCGCTGCCCCCCCCCCCCAAAAAAAACAAAAAAACCAACAACGCTGGCATAGGGGAATCAAATGCATTTGTCCCAGCACAGAATTCAAGCAGAAGAAGAAAATATTTGGATGGCAAATTCTCCAAGCATGGCAAAGCCTCCACCCTGATAGGAGGAGATGCTGAAGTGACACTGCGAGCACAGCATTCAGTCACAATTCCCAGCCTTCAAACCTGCCAACGCATGACAAACGTGATCCCCATGTAGGTAAAGTGGAACACCTGGACTGTGCTGCATCTTGCACCAGACATGACAAATGCTAATGTCTTTTAATTGTAAACCTATTACGAAGGCTGTTTTCTCTCTGGGTGAATTAAATGAACTGTTTTTTAAAGAAAAAAGCTGGAAAAACAAATTTCCTGTGCAATGACCAAAGAGAAGCCATTTAAACAGTGACACTGCAGGCTTGTCTGAGGCCTTGTGGACACTACAAACCGAGCTAGGGCTAATGGCAGTTCAGCTGCAAGCCTAGCCCCAAATCAAGCTGCATTCAGCACCACTTAAGCACTGAGGTTAGGGCCAAACTGCATTCAGCACTGGAAACCCTCGCCAGCAAGCATTCTCTTTGCAGCGCAGACAAGGGTTTCCCCTCTTGTAGCTGGAGAACCCACTGCTGGAAGGGCAGATTAGCTGCTAGTTATTTGTAGACTGTTACTCTACTGACTGAACACCCTGATGCCTTACATCCTAATCGTTCCCGTCACCGGGGCGTTTCTGGACACCACACTGAACGTCAGTCTGAGCGCAGAGGCTTTGGATGCAGTAATAGCCTTGAGCTGGTCTAGGGTTAAGTGAGTGAAAGGAAAGTGACTTTCATTTCTATTCTCTGGGAAACCTGTTGGCCGGAGGGAATGTTACAGACCAGTGAACTGTGCAAGAAAAGCTGAAAATGGCCTGCACAGATTCTCACCGTGATCCAAGACACGGATTTTATTCCTAATGTTTACTGAACACAGGGATTTAAACAGAGCAACTGATGCTCACACTCATTCCTGGCTAATGTAGTCTGCAGCCTTACATCAAGGCCATTCGCACTGCACATCTGTTAGTCTAAAGGCTACAGGACGCTTAAAACATATTTACTCCATTACACAAAGACTGACAGAGAAGCTCTACAGTCCTGGATCTTTCAGCTCAAATCCTTAGGCAGAGAAAGCTTCCAACTACATCGGCCCTCTGGAAATGTCTCCCGCGTGCACACAGGCTGATGGACCAAATGACAAAAAGGGCATTCATCCAGCTACGTTTGGTCATGTGGCCCAGCACATCCTCCCCAGCATTCATGTGACTGGCAGTTTAGAAGTCGAAAGAAACTCTCCGAGAGCCAAGAGGTTTGGGCAGGTGGGTTTACTTAGCTGGTTTCCTGGATGCTGCTCTTTGAGGTAAATCCTGGTAGAGCTCCCATGCACTGACTGAGGGACCGATGGGATATTGGGGGGAAAATGGCTGGAAAAGGGAAGCAGGTTCCCTCTAGCACAGAGTCGACCTGTGGCACTCACTACAGGTGGTGATCATGGAGTACAATACGGTGGCTGGACTGATTAAGAATGCCTGGATAATTTTATGACCGTTAACAACATATAATAATAATAGAGACTAAAATAAGGATAGTCAAGTCTCATGCTTCATGGCACAAGATGATCAAAGCAGGGGTCATAAAGGGTTGGTCCATGCAACTGGCTTGGGGTACTGGATTTTCTTCATCTTCCTATGACGCCTTAGGCACTGGCCCCTGCTGGAGTCTGAAAACCAGACTTGCTGGACCCATGGTTGATTTGGCATTGTAAATCCAATCATGCTACACTGGTTAAGAGTAACTATAAACAGCCAGGTTTGGGAAGCGATGCTGTGCTCACCTTCCAAAGGGTGACGGTCATTCTTTGGTAACTTGGGGGAGAGAGGAGCGCTGTATGGAGGGGAATCTTGGGAGTATCGCTTTGTACCTCGGCCTGGTCCCTGCAGAGTGCCGTCTAATGAACTGCTTCTGTCTATAAAAGAGAACAAGCCCTACTTAGGAATGGAGACTTCCTGGGAAATTCAGTCCGGCCTGGATCATTTATGACCCATGTACAACCTCACATCAGCCTGGCAAACCTCTGGGAGCCATCTGGAGCTTGATGGCTTTGAATTTAATTTTCATTTTGCAACATTTTGAAAATCAGAGTTATTGGTGATGGCACACAACTATTAGGTGCTGTGCCATTCTATCTCCTTTAATTAATTTCATTCTGTTTCTCCTAGTTATACATCTCAATTCACCCCAAACCATTCCTTCCCTCCACAGTCTGCGCAGCCTTTACACATATGCAGGCCTTAGACAATTAGGAAATTCTCTATCCCTTAGTCATTATTTGGCCCAGTTATACCCTGAGTTCTTCAAACCCATCCCTCCAGCTCCCTCACCAGCACTGTTGCGCTTCTCCAAATGCCCTTCCCTCCAACATGGCTCCAATTTTTGAATACTAAGGTCCATGCACTGTACGCAGCCTGCCAGGAACAGTCTCAGAGGGCCATCTAACAGGATGATCTGTGATGAGATGCCTCCAGATTTGTATCTGATTTTTTGCAACATTTCACATGGCAAGCTCAGATCTACTTTACTGCCCACAATGACCTCTTGGTTTCCTGAAAAGCTGCTGCTTCCCAAGTGTTTCCAGCCTGCACTCACTTGTGATTTGGGTTGTATTTCACCCCAGGATGTATGCACACTGGAGATTCCTAGTTCCCAGCCACTAGCCAACAGTAGCTGGTTTCCAGTGTGAACCCTGGGCTGCCTTCACTTTTGCTAAGCTAGTCACTCACCCATTTTGGAGCAGTGGAGCAAAGGGACAGGATGACCCATTAGCCCTGGAACCTTTATTGAGTTTGAGATAAAGAGCTTGGGAGGGATTTCCTCTCCCATCCCCTCTACAGGATTCCAGCAGCCTGCCATGGGCTCTCGCATGGCAGTCTGTCCCTCCTGCATTGTGGGGTGTCATCACTTAGTCCTTGCTGGGACACTATGTGTCCTCTTGTGAGTCTACCTCGTAGCACTTTAATTGCAGAGCTAAATTGCAACCTAGTCTCTGTTGCACAGTGGCATGAGCCAACATGCCCAGGATGTGTTGCTTCAGACAGCGAGAGCACCAGCCATGCCAAGAGAACCACAGTCCAACCACAATACGCCAGCAGTATGGCTCCCAGTCCCGAGGTGTAAACTGAGCTTTCCTGCTGGCAAGCGTGTTCTTTCTGTTGGGACAAGAGTCACAGCCACGACTCTTGCATCTGAAGAAGTGAGGTTTTTACCCACGAAAGCTTATGCCCAAATAAATCTGTTAGTCTTTAAGGTGCCACCAGACTCCTTGTTGTTTTTGTAGATACAGACTAACACAGCTACCCCCTGATACTTGAAGCCACGACTTAGGTACGACTTAGTGAAATTTTCCATTTACCTACTGCATGGGATCACCTTTCTGTTCTCTACACAAAGTCTCTCACCCTAATTCCTAAATGGATCAGTAACCTAGATCAGGTTACATTTCTCAGACTAGCCACGCAGGGAATGAGCGATGCAGAGAGGGTGAGACAGATGAGTGGAGATCTGTTGGCACAAATGGAAATCAGGTAGCACAGGCAGAAAGTGCAGCATCGGGGATCCTGGGGGTGTGAGTGACAGTAGATGTCGTGCAGTGAACCCACAAACTAGACTCTGCCGTCCGTACCGCTGCCATCTCTTAGCTGAAGGGTAAAGTCTGGTTAGGACGTGGTGCTTCGAGGGACACCAGAAAGCCCACCCCCAGCCCCAGCTCCTACCTGGTAGGTACCTGTCGTGGCTGTACGCGTGGGAGTGTTGCATATGGTTCAGAGTGAAAGGCTGGTTCCCAAAGAGGTTGTCGCTGCGCAGGTTGTGGCAGAGTTTCTCCAAGAAGCGGAGGACGTAGGTGATGCTGTTTACTGCCGGCAGATTCAGAGTGTGCTGTTCCCGATCAAACACGGCTGGAGACAGAAACAAACAGAGCCGAACACATAAACTCCCAGGCTGCACAGCCAGCTCCTGTACCTCCACCTCACCTGGCTAACTAAAGCAAACAAAAGCCACTGCTTTCCCCTGGCTTAATGCCGGGGAACTCTCCTCTCTGGGACAGGCCAGAACCAGCCTGCTGCACCCAGCATCAGGTGTGTCTGTTTTGCCTGAAAAGCTTATCTTTAAAGGTGTACTGAAGGGCATGCAAGGACAGGGTCTGTGCTTCCTGCTCGTGAGCGGTGGATAAATATGACCTCAAAGTACTTAAAAAGAAAATAAAAAAATAGTGGGTCGGAGAAGGGACTTGGGGCTATCTCTGGGGGGTTTTTTTTGCATGAGAAACAACAAAAGCTCCACCCCTCACCCTCCTCACCTACTCCTGGAGGACTCTGGCAAACTTTGGAGAGTCTGGAGTGCAACCTCACAGCTGGTGAAACCTGCGCTTTGGTTCACTAATACTGCGGCCCCTCAGCTGCAGCCGGGAGAGCTGCCAAGGGGAACGTTCTCTTTTAAGACACCTATTGGGTGGTGTCACATTATCCACCTAAACACTGGGCAAGAAAGAGAAAAGAGAGGCCTTAGGTCTAACTGGTGCTCTCTGTGCACTCTCTGGCCCCTGGCTCGGGGTCCCCGTCCAAGGATCTCAAGGAGGGCAATGTAGCAGCCTTGTGAATTTTTACAAGAAGCTTTTCTGTATGTAAGGGGTTGCAGGGGGAGCCAGTGGTAGGATGTTAGAAGGAAATGACTTCGGGCTTGTCTGCATGGTGGAGTTTGGTGGATTAGATTTGTGTGCACTAACAGTTGCGGAATAACTATTCTGAAGTAATTGTGTGCACATGGCCGGCTTTTACTTACTTTCTTTGAATCCGAGTGTACACATGGCATTTACTCTTTTCAAAGTTCTAAGTGGGTATTTCATGGTGCTGTCCCGCTGCTGGGCTCTATGCATTCTGGGATTCTTCTCATGGTACATTGTGGGTTAGCTACCATAAGGCACTGGAATTCTGAGTCTTGGGGTCAGAGCAGCAAATTCCCATGATTCCTCTCATCACATCCCAGGAGTCATCTGTCTTTTGCAAGTCAGTGCCATTCTCACACTGCTGTCAGCCAGCACGGAAGGAACACAGTTGTGTACTGCAGTCCAGGCTGCCACACATGTATTTGTGATCACACATCTGGGCAGCTGTCGTGCTGCTGAGCTATTTTTGGTAGAGCAGGAGGAGAAGGATGAAACTGAGCAGCTAACTGTGGAGAATGTTTTTCTGGAGCAGTTTCGCCCTACAGGATGCTATTTCTGGGTTTGGGACGTCAGCTCTGGCTGGGGGGGGGAAGGACAATGATCCTGGCCTGAGGTAGAGGAGGCAGAACTTCAGGATGAGAACGGGCCCTTCCCGAGACATCTGTGAGGAACCCCAGAGCTGCAGTGGCATCGTACCAACATGAGAGCTGCCCTCAGTGTGGAGAAGGGCATGACCATCACTATCAGGAAGCTCACCACCCTCAATGCTGCTGATCAGTAGCTAACCAGTTTGGTGTTGGTAGATCAGCTGTCTGGGCTGCTGTCATGGAGGTATGTGCTGATGTCCGGGGTCCCAGAGCCTGGCAATACACAGGAGGTTGTTGATGGATTTGCATAGCTGGGGTTTTTGAATTTTTCAGGGCCACTGCCATATGCCTATCCTTTGCCCCTCTCCCCAGGCCTCAGAGTTCACCAAAAGCAAGGAGTATTTCTCTCTGCTGCTCCTAGGCCTGGCTGACCTCCACGGCAGGTTCACCAATATTAAGTGGGTTGGTCTGGAGAGTCCATGTTACCAGGATCTTTTGAAACGCACAGTTTTATTTAATGAAAAGTGGAAACTGTGCTTCCAGGATGGCTATGGACATTAATGGTGCTGCGATTCCCCATCCGTGTGGGAGACCCAGCTCACCCTGAGCTTATGAAGCCTGTTACAGGAGACTTGGACAGGAACAGGGAGCTGTTCGGCTCTGACCCGAGTAGCTGCAGAATGACACTGGAGTATGCACGTGGAAGGCTGAAAGGGAGACGACGACGTCTCATGATGAGGTGGGAGGCTGCTGTGCAGTAGCTGCCTCCTGATCGCTGCCTTGCTGTGCTTTGCACATCTGAGAGAGCAGGGAGAGAGCCTTGCTGATGGCTGGGAGAGAGAGGTACAGAGACTTTCAGAATGTTATGAATGGCCACAGCATACTGCAGCAAACTGTCAAGGCCACAAGGTCAGGGGATGCCTTGGGCTCCTACTTTGAGGCTAGGAGCTGAAATGTTGCAATGTAATTTGATTGTGCATTGTGGCAGGGTTTCATTGCTCTGTATGGACTAGTGAAAAAAGTTTATTTTGCTTTTTAAATACTTTGTGCTGTAGTTTTGGGAAAGGGCATTTTATTATGTGCATGGGAGAGGTGGTATTTTATGAAAGTTTATTGAACTTTTGTCAAAAATCACTTACTGAACATCAAATAGTGCAAACAACATTTATTGATCAAAACTGTGTATCCATTGTAACATGAGCCAGAACATAAAACAGTGCACACTGTGCATAACAATGCAAGCTTTACACAACATGACAGTGCAGAAGTGCAGCACATGACACAAGTACTGAGTGCACACGTTAGTGCTGCACAAGTCACAGGCATATGTACGGGCAGGATTTCTGCCTAATGTCTTTCCTTGGCCTGTGGAGTGACCAGGGAAGAAACCATTGTTTGCCATTATGGGGGTGAAGGAGCTGTTTTCAGTCTGGTGGGTGGGGTGGGAAACGCCTGTGGCCAGAGTTTTGGGAAGGGTACTGCTGCTCCCAGGACGCATTCCTCTCCATGGATTGCAGGGCTGGAGTGGGTTGGAATTGAGGTGGTGGGGCTGTGGCAGAATATGGCGCCATCATGTTCTCGATCAAGACAGTCTGTTCTTGCATGAACTCCAGGAGCTGTCTCTGCCTCTCCCGGTCACTCTCTCCATGTTCTCTGTCCTCTCTCTGCAAGAACTTCCTCCACTCCTCTGGCTTCTTATCCCTCTTCAGCAATGCTGTCCTGAGGTCCTCAAACATTGTCTTTGGCCTTCTTTTCCCTGGCCCAGAGATTAGTCAGGCATTTGGAAGTTACTAACAGTCCTTTTCACGGTGTCAGGTGCAGAAGCTGGGAAGCAAGAAACAGAAGTAGTTATTATAATTGCCACAGGAACCAGAATCACAGTGATAAAATGTTGCTTTTCCCTCAGTTTCGGAATGCCATTGCAATGGTCCCGTCTCCACCTGGGGAGAGCTTGGAGGTGGCAGAAGAGTTTCACTTTACTCCCTCTTTGCACAACTCCTGTTCTAACCCTAGGCAGTTGGTGCGGTGGGGGGCTGCGGTAGGCAGTGGGGCTTAGGCCAGTGGTTTGCATGGGTGGGGTGGTGGGGGTAGGTGGAAAGATTTGGAGGTTTGCCTGGCCTGGGGCTGGGGAGTTGCAGAGGCCAGGTTAGGAACTGCATGTGCACCTCTGCAGGCAGGCCTAACGTCGGAGGATGTAACCTTACTACAGATCACCAAGAGCAGAGAAGGGACTTGTTCAGAAAGGCGATGGGAGTTTAATTCTTGCATTTAACTCTGGCACTATACCTCATGAAATGCTAACAGAGCTGGAATCTCAGGCCATTGATCAAACTGTGAAGCAAAGTCTTTTACGTTGTATTATTTTCCTATAAGTGATTTTGAGTAAGCATGTCTACATTACAACCACCACGGTACCATTGGCTTGACTGTGGCAGGAGGGCTGCGGGTAGTCCACAGTGGACAACTGGGAGAAGGGACCACAAGGAGGACAGGACCGGGGCTGGGGCAGGAGGCGGTGTGACAGATAGCTGTGGGAAATGAAAGTATCAGGGAAGTAAACCCTGCAGAACTCTAATTCTGAGGCATGGACACCATTTTGAGCACGAGAGGAGGAGGACAGAAGCAGAGTTCACATCCACCCAAAATGGTGGCATCTAATGGGCTCCCAGAACAAAGTTTTAACCGCATCAACACAGTTTAATTGTAATACAGCACATCATACTTACTGGCCGAGGCCCTCTGCCCAGGACTATCAGGCTGTGTGCTCCTGGGGGCTATCTGTTCCTCGGGATCTGGTCAGGCTCTAGCCTGGAGAAGAGATCCTGGCTTGCTGGGGACACCTCCTCCTCCTCCAAGTCCTGGTTGGGACTGGGGTTTTCCTCGGTGCCTTGGCACAGTCCTCAATGTACCAGGGAAAATCCAATCCAGCTCCTTAAAGTAGGGGCAGGTAATTGGAGCACTGTCAGGCCATGTCTGTCCTTGGCTGTTCTTATAATTCTGCCAGCAGCTCTGCTTTCCTGTGTTGTAGGAGTGAACTGCATCTTAGGACAGCCCCTCGGTCATCCTGCCAGCGGCACTCCTTCCCTGTGTTGCAGGACTGAGCCACGTCCCAGGATGGACCCTCTCGGCCATTTGCTTAGCTGTACATGTGTATTTTCTCCTCAGGATGGCTGCTGTTTAGGCATGACTGCACTGGCTCCTCAAGGAAACCCCGCTGCTGCACATCTCCAGGTGTTTGCTGTAACACTCCAGGAATCACAAAAGGGGTGCTGCTGGCTGTGTGCCACCATTTAAACATGGGGCCATCCAGTCGCCATGAGCCCAGCACAGCAGACAGCGTACACACAGACAAGTCAGTCCTGGCGTGAAGCGATGCAGTGTGGGATATCAGTGGGAGGACTGAAAAGTTGATCCAAAATACAGACGTGTCCATATGAACATTTCTCCACATTAACTCATTCTGAAATTAACCTAATCCACTTCAAAGTGGATTATCCAATTCGCACAGTTGATTTGGAAGAACTGTGCTGTGTGGACACAGCCCAGGTTAATTAGAAAAAACAGCAGTTAGTCTGCAATAAAGCCCTGTGTACCCAAGCCCTTAATCAGATGAGTCTAGCAGCAGCATTCTGACAGACCTGATGGAGTCAAAGTCCAGGAGAGAAGGGTTCACACTTCCCAGCCCCTTGTACCAGACCTGTGGGACTCTCTCTGGGGCACTTCCAGGAGGACTCGGAGCACAATTCCCTGGTGCTCATGGGTATATTTGCAGGCACCCTACACTGATGGTTAATGAGGCAGGGCACAACTAACATGATACACCATGGATCAGCTTGAAGCTGCTGAATGTTCCCCTTTCTCTTACGGGTTTAGGAAGCAGCTGGTATCACTGAAAAGAAACAAACATAATGTAGCACAAAGAACAGGGATGAAACAGGGGAGGATGGGCTTGAGGCTAATGCACAGGACTGGGAACCAAGGAGGCTGAATTCTGTTCTCAGATCTGCCACCAACGAGCTGTGTGGCCTTGGATAGTCATGTCACCTCTCTGTGCCTCAGTTTTCTCATCTGTAAAATGGGGAAAGAAAGTGACACTTCCCACAGCACCCCATGAGCTAGGGACTGCATTGATTAGTGGCTGAGAATGACACTGTGATTCTTGGCTGGAAGGCACATGGGAGTTTTATTCCTACATGCACAAGCATGTTATACACCCCTCCTATGGCTGGAGAAGCGATCCTCACTTGTTTAGGCTTTATACAGCAATCCGGTACAGCACTCAGAGCCTTCCAGACTCCCATGGAGACTTCCCCAGCTGGGGATGGCCACAGCTGACATCAGGACGGTGCTGTGCTCCAGGGAGATGGTTCCATCAAAGATCTCTCAGAAAGCAGGGCAGGGGGGAGAAAGCTTGGTTCTTACCTGAAATGACCTCTCCCCCATGGCCTTGCTTCAGGAAGGAAAAGACAGTTTTCTGATGGTAAGCACAGTCAATACAGGCCTGTACTGCCTGCTGCAGCACCACAGAGGCCCGAGCTGGTCCAAAATGGTCAGGCAGCTGCTGAACTTTCTTTTTGTCCAGGTGAGGCCCGGTGCTGCTGGTCTTGTTCAAGTAAATGCAGACTGCAGAGAGAGAGAAGGCTCAAGGTTACCCTGCGAGAGCTGCTTGCCCAGCACACCCATCCCTGCTTTGCCACAGCCCTGCCCTCCTGCCAGCATGGGGCCTGCCCTGTCATACGCTCACCATTACCCCGCGAGAGCCGCCCGCCCACAGCCCTGCCCTCCTGCCAGTACAGAACCTGCCCTGTCATACGCTCACCATTACCCCGCGAGAGCCGACCGCCCACAGCCCTGCCCTCCTGCCAGCATGGGGCCTGCCCTGTCATAGGCTCACCATTACCCCGCAAGAGCCACCCGCCCACAGCCCTGCCCTCCTGCCAGTACAGAGCCTGCCCTGTCATAGGCTCACCATTACACCGCGAGAGCCGCCCGCCCACAGCCCTGCCCTCCTGCCAGTACAGAGCCTGCCTGCTGTCATATGCTCACAAACAGGATGAAACAAGCCAGTCCAGCATAGCCACTAGTCTGCTGCCTACCAGCACAAGGCATATTTAGAAGAGGTACAAGCCCACAATGCTGATTCCTCGCTTCCCTTGGGCTCATCCTCCGCCATGCTAGCATCTCCTCCACGGCCTCTGTCCTAGTGCTCCAAGTATGCCAAGCTGTGGGTGTGCTGAGCGTCCGGATAACGGTTGAGACTCTAAAAGGAGCCTAGGGGAGTTCAGCACCCAGCTCCCATTGAATTTCCAGCCTAGGTCCCTTAGGCTTCCCTGGATATCTGTCCAGCTGTGCTGAGGGAGAGTGGGCCCAGCCAGACCGTGTGCTGGGCAGAGTTAGCATCAGACTCCCCCTTCTGGGGTCAGCTTTAGTTCGGACTCAAGACTGGAACCCCACAGAAACCTTAGCTTGGTCTTTCTAGGCTCTCGACCCTGGCTCCTTTGTGCCCAAAGCGACTCTGGCTGCCTCTCCACCCTACTAGGAGCTCAATGGACCCAGCAAGACTCTGCAGCAGACACCCTGACTTTTAATGCAGGGTTCTGGGGTGACTCAACAGCTGAGCCTGCCCCCCTCTCTAGTTTCAGAGAGAACTAGGGTGCTGCAGCCCTTCCTGCCTCAGAGCAGCATGGGCCTGGAGAAATGCCCCTCCTAGAGCAGCTGAGTTGCTAGGATGTGTGTGTCCAACCATATGGCTCCAAGAGAGCACTCTGCCCCTAGCTGCACGGTGAGCCTCAGCCCAGAGTGAAAGGTCTCGAGTGTCCATGAAGACATCCCTCTGTTCAACCCCCAGGGGACGCCACTAGGTACCTCTAAGCAATAATTCATGGGAGGAAAATGCAGTGCAATCGCCCAGCTCTAGCTACGTTCCTGAGAAGCGGAGGAGATGAGGGAAGGCACAGGGAGCCTCTGGGTCTCTTTCCAGCCTGATTCTTCTCTGCGTTAGGCCACTCTTATTCCCACACCAGCCAGACTTGCTGCCATGTTTGGAAATCGTGGTATCTTCACTTGATATTTTCTGGGTTCCCCCAGATTCCTGAACTCATCATCTTCCCTGAGGGGGCGAGCCCAGCGTACCTGTGGGGGCCTGCATGGCAGAGCTGGGGATAGTAGCAGCATCCTGGGGCACAGTGCTGGTGTCTGGCTCTGGGGTGCTAGTTGTTGGAGAGGTGGGGGCTGGATTCAACAAAGTCCGAGGTTTCCTCTGCAGAAAGGGATTGGAAAGAGTTCTCCTTTTACACATGCTCACCATCCCGCCGCTCCCACACCGTCCTGCCCCGCCCACCACCCTCATCAGACCACGCCCCTGCCCTGCTCTACCCCAGTCCACATCAGACCCCACTCTGCTCAAGCCTCCCACCCACATCAGACCCCACCCCCTGCCCTTCTGTACCCACCACCCTCGTCTGTCCCCGCCCCCATCCTGCTCAACCCCCCCGCCCACATCAGACCCCGCCCCCACCCTGCTCTATCCCCCACCCAGCACGCTCATCAGACTCCACCTCCCGCCCTGCACTGCCCTCATCAGACCACACCCCCCAGCCCACCGCCCTCATCAGACCCCGCCTCCACCCAACACCCTCTTCAGACCCTACCCCCTGCTTGGCCACGCTTCCTGACACTGTTAAATATGCTCATCCCTGGGGGTGTGAGGCTGGAGTCTAGTTACTCCCTCCATTCCACACCCCTGCCCAGTGCATGTGCTGCCAGCCCCTGCTGGGTTGAGGACCTGGAGTCTAGAGATGCTCCCAACCCCCACACTCCATGGGTGTGCTCCCATTACCCGTCAGTCCTAGGGCTGGACTTTGTCTCCTAAACACACAAAAGCATAGGTGCTGCAACAAGGGGACGGAGGGTGCTGGGGGTGCTGCCGCAACTCCTCACTTAAAAGTGGTTTCCATCATATCCAGGGTTTACAGTTTGGTTCAATGGCTCTCAGCACCCTCACTATACAAATTGTTCCAGCGCCCCTGCACAAAAACACAGCTGCTCTCCACCCCAGAGGCACACACGCAGCACGCTCCATTCACATGTGATCACAGGCACATACCCTGTCACCTACCTTACTGCCAGGCTTTGGTCCCCTCTTTTTGGGGAATTTCAGAGGCTCCACAGATTTGGAGGGGGTAGGGATGGGGTGATGGATCAAGGCCTTGGGCGTCCGGCCGCGCTTCTTGCCCGACTTGCGACGCTTTTGCTCAGGTTGGGGCCCCAAAGCAGTCTTCATGCTGCTGTGCATGCTGGGCTTCTCGGCACTTCCTTCAGAGACAGGAAACGGGCTCTTTGGAATCACAACTGCAGTCAAACGAAAGACGATGATCATCGTTTACACAAGGTTACGATGGCATAAGTATTCGTGCACACAGCTGTGGATCAGAATATGAGTGTCTTCTATCTGTAAACGCCGCCATCCCCAGGTAGCAGCAACTTTCGCTGTACACTAGAGAGCTCAGAGCTGAGCGTGCAGATTCTTTTTCTGCATCTCATGTAAGAACCGAAATCTCCTGACTTCCAGTCCCGTGCTTTAGCCATAAGATAGTCCTTTCTCCTAAAATATGAGACATTCTGGCTTAAGTTAGGTGGACTGCTCAATTAGCATAAGAACGGCCATATTGGGTCAAACCAATGGTCCATCTAGCTCAGTGTCCTGTCTTCCAACGGTTCCAATGCCAGGTTCCCCAGAGGAAATGAACAGAACAGGTAATCATCAAGTGATCTATCCCCTGTTGCCCATTCCGAACTTCTGGCAAACAGAGGCTAGGGACACCATCCCTGCCCATCCTGGCTAATAGCCATTGATAGACCTATCCTCCATGAATTTATCTAGTTCTTGTTTGAAACCTGTTATAGTCTTGGCCTTCACAACATCCTCTGGCAAAGAGTTCCACAAGTTGACTGTGTGTTGTGTGAAGAAATACTTCCTTCTGTTTGTTTTAAACCTGCTGTCTATTCATTTCATTTGGTGACCCCTAGTTCTTGTGTTCTGAGAAAGAGTATATAACACTTCATTTACTTTCTTCACACTAGTCATGATTTTATAGACTTCTACCATATCCCCCCCCATCTCTTTTCCAAGATGGAAAGTCCCAGTCTTATTAGTCTCTCCTCATACAAAAGCTGTTCCATACCCCTAATCCTTTTTGTTGCCTTTTTCTGAACATTTTCCAATTCCAATGTATCTTTTTTGAGATGGGGTGACCACATCTGCACGCACTGTTCAAGATGTGGGCGTACCATGGATTTATAGAGGCAATATGATATTCTCTGCCTTGTTATCTATCCCTCTCCTAATGGTTCCTAACATTCTGTTAGCCTTTTTGACTGCCGCTGCACATTGAACGGATGTTTTCAGAGAACTATCCACAATGACACCAAGATCTCTAATTTAATTTAGCTAATGTAGACCTCATCATTTTATATGTATAGTTGGGATTATGTTTTCCAGTGTGCATTACTTTGCATTTATCAACACCGAATTTCATCTGTCATTTTGTTGCCCGGTCACCGAGTTTTGGGAGATCCCTTTGTACCTCTTCGCAGTCAGCTTTGGACTTAACTATCTTGAGTAGTTTTGTATCATCTGCAAATTTTGCCAACTTGCTGTTTACCCCTTTTTCCAGTTCTTTTATGAATATGTTTAACACTACTGGTCCAGTACAGACCCCTGGAGGATATGGCTATTTACCTCTCTCCATTCTGAAAACTGACCATTTATTCCTACTCCTTGTATCCTATCTTTAAACCAGTTACTGATCCAGGAGAGGACCTTCCCTCTTATCCCATGACAGCTTACTTTGCTTAAGAGCCTTTGGTGAGGGACCTTGTCAATGGCTTTCTGAAAGTCCAAGTACGCTATATCCACTGGATCCCCCTTGTCCACATGTTTGTTGACCCCCTCAAAGAATTGTAGTAGATTGGTGAGGCATGATTTCCCTTTACAAAAACCATGTTGACTCTTCCCCAACAAATGGTGTTCATCTATGTGTCTGACAATTTTGTTCTTTACTACAGTTTCAACCAATCTGCCCAGTGCTGAAGTTAGGCTTACCAGCCTGTAATTACTGGGATTGCCTTTGGAGCCTTTTTTAAAAATTGGCATCACATTAGCTATCCTCCCATCATCTGGTACAGAAACCGATTTAAATGATAGGTTCACATACTACAGTTAGTAGTTCTGCAATATCACATTTCAGTTCCTTCAGAACTCTTGGGTGAATACCATCTGGTGCTGGTGACTTATTACTGTTTAGTTTATCAATTTGTTCCAAAACCTCCTCTAATGACACCTCAATCTGGGACAGTTCCTCAGATTTGTCATCTAAAAAGAATGGCTCAGGTTTGGGAATCTCCCTCACATCCTCAGCCATGAAGACCGATGCAAAGAATTCATTTAGTTTCTCTGCAATAGCCTTAACTTCTTCGAGTGCTCCTTTAGTATCTCGACCATCCAGTGGCCCCACTGGTTGTTTAGCAGGCTTCCTCCTTCTGATATATTTAAACATTTTTTTGCTGTTACTTTTTGAGTCTTTGGCTAGCTGTTCTTCAAATTCTATTTTGGCCTTCCTAATTATATTTTTACACTTCACTTGGCAGAGTTTATGCTCCTTTCTATTTTCTTCACTAGGATTTAACTTCCACTTTTTAAAGGATGCCTTTTTGCCTCTCACTGCTTCTTTTACTTTGTTGTTTAGCCATAGTTGCACTTTTTTGGTCCTCTTACTTGTGTTTTTTTAATTTGGGTCTACATTTAAACTGAGCCTCTATTATGGTGTCTTTAAAAAGTTTCCATGCAGCTTGCAGGGATTTCACTTTTGGCACTGTACCTTTTAATTTCTGTTTAACTAACTTCCTCATTTGTGTGTAGTCCCCCCTATCTGAAATTAAAAGCTACCGCAGTGGCTGCTTTGGTGCCCCCACCCCAGGGATATTAAATTTTATTATGTTATGGTCACTAATACCAAGCAGTTCAGCTATGTTCACCTCTTGGACCAGATTCTATGCTCCACTTAGGATTAAATCAAGAATTGCCTCTCCTCTGGTGGGTTCAGGACTAGCTGCTCCAGGAAGCAGTCATTTAAGGTATCAAGAAACTTTCTCTCTGCATCCAGTCCTGAGGTAACACGTTCCCAGTCAATATGGAAATCGTTGAAATCTCCCATTATTAATTAACTATTATTGAGTTTGTTTATTTTCATAGCCTCTCTGATCTCCCTGAGAATTTCACAGTCACTATCACCATCCTGGTCAGGTAGTCAATAGTATATCCCTACTGCTATATTCTGAATATTCAAGCATGGAATTACCACCCATAGCGATTCTATGGTACCGTTTGGTTCACATAATATTTTTAAATCATTTACTTCATTGGCACTGAACTCTCTGAGGAGCAAGGCTCTAGTCCTTCCTCTTCATACAAGTTACCTGGCTTGTCATCAAGTCCCGCCTTTCTTTACCATACGTAGTGGCCTGTCATGGAGAATGCACAGAAAACATTCCAAACAGGAGGGCCAGTCACAGAGACAGTGCTCTGTTCGAAAGCCTCTTCTAGCACTTGCAGGCAAAAAGTCAAATTTGCAGTGCCCACAACTTTCCAATGCACTGCAGCTGCAGCCTCCACCCTTGATCCCTACAGACTGGGGCTGCTAGCCACAGCCCAAAGTGCTAGCTCCTGTCTGGACCAAGTAAGATGGCATGCTCCACTCAAGGTACTGCCCAACCTAAATGAAGTGACACCCCACATGCAATCCATTCGCACTTCCTTCTTAGGGCTCTCCAGGCTGCTAGGTGCTTAGGGCTCTCCAGGCTGCCCCAGTATCAAAACACAGCCCTTTGGGATACTTGCCTACTGTTAAAGGGGACAGTCCCTTTTTCCTCTCAGCCATTTTCTCAAGTTTCCTTGTTTTTCTGCATCAGCCCCCTTATCCCCCCTTAGTCACTCATCTGCTCATATTCTCATAGGGACAGAAGGTGAAATGACCCAGCTCAGATGATTAACATTTGCTCTAGAATTTAAACATGTGTGAAAAATAAAGAAATAAGGCCTAAATTTTCAGGAATGTCCACTAATTTTGGGAGCCCAACCTGAGACACCAATGGATGTTTCAAATGGAGGCACATAGATTAGTAATTGCTTTTGCAATCGATCCAGATGTCTACCCTCATGGTCATGGAGAAAACCTTCAACATGTGAACTGACTGTAACTGATGCAGTGATGTCTGTCTACTTCAACAGTTGTAAACACCAGCTTCCAGAGGTGAACTGTTCATCTCCCAGACTAGAGGATTCCCTATGTGCGCGGGCATTGAAATGACAACACCCCCCGAATTCCCGAGTCCCATCTCTTTAGTCTCACAGGGGCAGACTCCAGACTTCTCACCCCTTAAGTGACAGCCTGATACTGATTTCAACCTCTAGAGGAGTGGGCGGGAAGGTGGCTGGTCCTTGTGCATCTGCTGAGGAGAGCCCTGTGAGAACCCAGATGAACGTGCTAGTCAGCAAGGGGAAATGCAGTTATGGATCAGCTGAGCAGTAAGTGGCTGATCACCCCATATCCTATCTCTGCCCATTAGAGGGTTACAAGTGTTTGACACAGGAGTGGGGTGGCCTAGCCTGCACCTCCAAGAGCTGCCTCACAGGCTTTACCAGCCTGAAGCCCTCAGCACCCAGATCAGAGACGTTGCCAGCCTCACCTAGGCACACAGGCTATTCTAGATGTAGGCTGGAGACTTCAGCTTCCAGGCAGGTGCCCCAGCCACAAGAAAGCCTCCTTAAGGCTATGGGCTCAAACCTTCCTCCCACCGCAGCCTGAGGGAAACCGCTAAGGGCAGAAGTGGGGATGAGCAGCTCCCCCATTTACATCCAGGGAGAGAGACACCAGACCTTGCTGGTGCAAAGGCAACAGCAACAAACGAACCAGAGAAGAGCACCCTGGGTCAAGACTCAGTGATGGAATGGAGGCCAGATGGCTGTGGCTTTGTGAAGGTCCTCAGGCACCACAGCACCAGGGGCCAATACCTAGACAACGGGCGGAGCCGGGAGGGGTGAGGCGCCATGTGGGAGCGGAGGAGCCTAGGAGAAGTGGTCTGTGGGAGGCTTGTGTGCACTGCATTGAGTCCATGAGCTCCAGCTACCAGCCACAACAGCAAGGGGTTTACTTGGGAGGAGGGATGAATACGAACTAAGAGTTTTAAGTGAAAAAGTCAGCAGTGTCCTGTCCCCCCCCCAGCTCCTAAACCAACCCCTCGCTCCCATTGGTCACTGCTACAGGAGAGACAGCTGTCAGTCACAGAGCCCT